TAAGCTAATTAGCAAAGACACAGGAAAAGGACCCTGAAGATTACAGGAAGGTTGAGAATAACCTCCCCAGACCTGGTGCCTTTGGGTCTCTAGTAAGTTAAGTTGAAGTAATCCTTTGCTATCTAAAGGTTGAAGGAGGAGGAAATGGTGACCAGTGCACATAAGCTCCCAGTCACACAGAATGATCAGAGTCCACATTTTTTTTTGTTGTAATCATGTATTTTTGCCTGCATAAATATGATATGTGTGTGTGTGTGTGTGTGTGTGTGTGTGTGTGTGTGTGTATAGACACATATACATAGCCAAGAGAAGACCCAACTCAGTGGTCAAATAGTCAAAATATATAAATTGAAAATAAACCTTTCAGCCCTTTCACAAAAAATCCCATAAATTTTATTTCAAAATGTGTGGCAAACCTTATACTCTTGTTTTAAGGATTTATTGCCACTGTATTCTTTATAGCCAGTATTCCATTTTATGGAACAGCATGCAGTTACAGAATAAAATATTTTTTGTTAATTTTGTAGTGGTCTGACCCCTAAAGACTTTTGAAATTATTTTTCTGTCTCTGTATATTAAATAACTTTTCATTTGTCCTGTTAAGACAAATGTTAATGATAAAATATATGACTAAAGACAATAAAATTTAATATGTCATTATAAATTAATAAGAATAATTCTGTGTAAAACTCACAAGCTGATTTCGAAAGCATTTTTACAAAATTTCAAAAGGCTCTTAAATCTATGAAGGCTACTTTAAATTAAAGTATGACTTCCTCCTCCAAAAACTAATTTGAAAAATAATTATTCTATGTTAACTTGGTGTAATTTTTTTAAGTCTTACTTTAAACTCACACCTAGTAAAACATGAATGAAAGTGTCTATATGAATTACCTGTTAACAAAATACTAGTATTCTGACTAAATTCTGGTTACGTTTACATCAAAAATCACAAGTATTCCTATACACCAATAACAGACAAACAGAGAGCAAAATCATGAGTGAACTCCCATTCACAATTGCTACAAAGAGAATAAAATACCTAGGAATATAACTAACAAGGGACATGAAGGACCCCTTCTCAAGAAAATAAGAGAGGACACAGATGGAAAAACATACCATGCTCATGGTTAGAAATAATCAATATCAGGAAAATGGCCATACTGCCCAAAGTAATTTATAGATTCAATGCTATCCCCATCAAACTACCATTGACCTTCTTCACAGAATTAAAAAAAAAAAACAACTTAATATGGAACCAAAAGAGAGCCCGCACAGCCAAGACAATCCTAAACAAAACAAACAAACAAACACCAAGCTGAAGGCATCAAGCTACTTGACTTCAAACTATACTACAAGGCTACAGTAATCAAAACAGCATGGTATTGGTACCAAAACAGAGACATGGACCAATGGAACTGAACAGTGGCCTTGGAAGCAATGCCACACATCTACAACCATCTAGTCTTTGACAAACCGGACAAAAACAAGCAATGAGGAAAGGATTCCCTGTTTAATAAATGGTGTTGGGAAAGCTGGCTAGCCATGTGCAGAAAGCTGAAACTGGACCCCTTCCTTACACCTTATACAAACATTAACTCCAGATGGATTAAAGATTTAAACATAAGAGTTAAGACCATAAAAAAACCTAGAAGAAAACCTAGGCAATACCATTGAGGACATAGGCATAGACAAGGACTTCATGACTAAAACACCAAAAGCAATGGCAACAAAAGCCAAAATAGACAAATGGGATCTAATTAAACTTAAGACCTTCTGCACAGCAAAAAAAAAAAGCAGTCATTAGAGTGAACCCACAGTCAACAGAATGGGAAAAAATTTTTGCAGTCTACCCATCTGACAGAAAGGCTAATATCCAGACTCTACAAAGAAATTAAACAAATTTACAAGAAAAAAACAAACAACTATATCAAAAGTGGGCACAGGGTATGACCAGACACTTCTCAAATGAAGACATTTATGCAGCCAACAAATGTATAAAAAAATGTTCATCATCACTGGTCATTAGAGAAATGCAAATCAAAACCACATTGAGATACCACCTCATGCCAGTTAGAATGGCAATCATTAAAAAATCAGGAGACAGGCCGGATAAGGTGGCTCATGCCTGTAATCCCAGCACTTTGAGAGACTGAGGCAGGCAGATCATAAGGTCAAGAGATCGAGATCATTCTGGACAACATGGTGAAACCCCATTTCTACTAAAAAAAATACAAAAATTATCTGGGCATGGTGGCACATGCCTGTAGTCCCAGCTACTTGGGAGGCTGAGACAGGAGAATCACCTGAACCCAGGAAGCGGAGGTTGCAGTGAGCTGAGATTGTGCCACTACACTCCAGCCTGGTGACAGAGAGAGACTCCATTTCAAAAACAATAAAAAATCAGGAGACAACAGATGATGGAAAGGATGTGGAGAAATTGGAATGATTTTGCACTGTTGGTGAGAGTGTAAATTAGTTCAATCATTGTGGAAGACAGTGTGGTGATTCCTCAAGGATCTAGAAATAAAAATACAATTTGACCGAGAAATCTCATTACTGGGTATATACCCAAAGAATTATAAATCATTCAATCATAAAAACACATGCACACATATGTTTATTGTGGCACTGTTTACAATAGCAAAGACTTGAAACCAACCCAAATGCCCACCAATGATAGACTGGATAAAGAAAACGTGGCACATATTTACCATGGAATACTATGCAGCCATAAAAAAGGATAAGTTCATGTCCTTTGCAGGGACGTGGATGAAGCTAGAAACCATCATTCTCAGCAAACTGACACAAGAACAGAAAACCAAACACCGCATGTTCTCACTCATAAGTGGATGTTGAACAATGAGAACACATGGACACAGGAAGGAGAATATCACACACCTGGGCCTATTGGGAAGGTGGAGGGCTAGGGGAGGGATAGCATGGGGTGGGGGGATTGGAGAGGGATAACACTAAGAGAAATATCTAATGTAGGTGACGGGGGGATGGATGCAGCAAACCACCAAGGCGTGTGTATACCTATGTAACAATCCTGCATGATCTGTAGATGTACCCCAGAATTTAGAATATAATAATAACAATAAAAGAATGATTCAGGTATTTTGGTAAATTCAGATACTATTTTTTAGCAGTCCAGGAAGTTTTCCTGTCTGTCTTCCTAAATAACAGAACTTGCTCCCCTGATTTCATTTGATCCCAGACTTGAATTCCCTAACAACAGTGAGATGGTACATGAACCAGACAGGGAACATCAAGATTTTTCCTTGGATTCTGAGAGGAACACAAACAAATAAAAAATAATAACTCTATTTACTGGAGTGTCTTCCTTCATTTAGGCTGTTACAACAATTATCCTTACACTGGGTAAGTTGCAAACAACAGAACTTTATTTTGAAGGCTGGGAAGTCCAAGCTCAAGGCACTATCAGTTTCAGTGTCTGGTGAGAGCCAATTCTCATAGATGGCACCATCTTGTTCAAATCTGTTGCTCATTTTTTATTGGGTTGTTTGTCTTCTTATTGTTAAGTTTCAAAAGTTCTTTGTATCTTCTGAATATAAGACTATTTGCAAGATACTATAATCTGCAAATATTTCCTCCCAGTCTTTAAATTGTCTTTTCATTCTAGTAACAGAGAAAAAGATTTTAACTTTGATAAAGTCTAATTTATCTTTTTTATTTTATGAATTATGCTTTTAGTTTTGTAAAAACTTACTTTGTTTAGCTACTTAATTATTCTACTTTAGCCTTATCTGATATTTATTCTGAAGGCAGAGACAAATATGCTTGAAGTGCTCTTAGCCCCAAACAGAGCAATAAAACTTTTATTGAATTTTTATACTTTTTAAAAATCAGCGAACCCTTGTTCTGTGAATATTGTTCTAACCCCAAAGCCTTTCTGGTGTATATTTCTCTTTAGTCCTGGCCCTCTGAACATACCATTAATTGCACTTCCTATTTTTTGCTCTTACCATCATCTGTTTATTCTTCAACTCTCTCCAGCTCCTTGAAGGCAGGAATCATGTATTCAACATTTAGGACAGCCCAATGTCCAATACATAATAGATGTGCAACACAACTTTATGTAGTGAATGAATCTTACCTCATGTAAATACTTCAGACAAACTGAAAACATTTCTGTAAACAGACATAACTGAAAAACCTACGAGTTAATCTCTCATGATCTATGAAAAGGGACAAATAAAGAAGAATGGTCTAATGCTTTGTAACATAGTTCATAGTGAATAAAAGTACATCAAATTGCCTAATTGATTCAGTAAATATTTAACTAAGCACCTACTATGTGCTGAGCACTCTGCTTATTGAGGTCACTTCTAAATATTTGATTACTTGACTTTAGAAAATACAAATTATAAAAGGTGATAAAAGTAAATTTGAAGAGAAAATACAAAATGTGTTTTAGCCTAATTTCTTTGTTATTCTGAAAATGATTTATCCTAAAATACAATAAGTTATAAATAAAAACTATTAAGAATTTTAAAATAAATACATTGAGTGCCTTTTATCTTCTCTTGTACTATATGTTGAAATACTAAGATAATTTACTACAAAAAATGAAGGAAATAGAAACACTCAAAATTAAGAAATTATGTATCTAACATGTAAAACTGAATTTATTATTGCATAACTCAAAACAACACTAACATATACTCAAGTTACATTTTTTTCAAAAACCAAATGAAGACATTTGAAATTGAATTGCAATTCTGAATTCACTAGCATTTTGAGATAAATTATTTTTAATCAAATAAAAATTTTAGCATGGCATTTGTACAGCGAACAAAAGCTACAACTCAGATAAAAGGAAATAGCAAAAAGAAGTAAAACAAAAATTGTTAAAACACTTTGCCTTTGGGACAAAACTGAATCCAGCTCTTGACATCAGACACTAATCAAAAGAAGATTAGTTTATGTTCATGTTTTGATCACTGGATGTGAGCAAAACTTCGCCTGGCACTTACTGAGCTTGATGGACCATCATTGAATTGATCAGGAGATTTTGGATCAGGGGCCACTTTTCTGGGACTTGTCTTAAGGCAGATGCTGGGAGAAGGGAAGTCAAAGGAATCAGTCACTTAAGCTGAGGCAGGGTGAGTCGCCTCTTATTGGAAGGGTCAATCTGTAAAGCCAATGGAGATGCTAAAATGCATATCATAAAGAAGCCAAGGCCAACTACAACTGCAATTCATCACTAGTTCCTCAATCCAAAGCTATGCACAGTGGGATGGTAAAATAGTTACTAGAACTGATAGTTTTATGAGTTATAACAAGAAATACCAACTCTTTCTAACTTTGTATTTCTATAAAAGCCTTTGTGACTTGAGAAAGAATGTAGTGGAAGTATTATGGGGCAATTCTCAAAAGCAAAGGCAAACCCGTGGACTTGCAGAGGACAGAACCCAAGACAGTTCTGAGGATCTAAGTGGCAGGAACGAATTACTGCTGACACTGGAGCTATTAAATCCAACAGCTCCTTGGTATTTGCATCACCCCTCTCAAGAATCAAAGTCCTACAAGGGGGAACCTAAATGGTGTAGTGTGGATCATTTGCCCTCCTCCTCCTCCCTTTGCTGTAGAAAGACAGGGGAACTTGATCAACAGTTTCATCAAGTCCCCTCAAAGGGAGGAGATGGAAATCCTCTAAAAGGGATCAGGGTTTTGTTTACAGAAGAAAGAGTAAGAACTGCAGCATGGTAAAAACGGCTGCCAGAACCATCATACCTCTTTATTTTGTGTATTTAAAATTCATTTCTGCTTTAAGCCCCATCCAACCAGACAAGGGGAAAGCTTTACCTGTTATTTCTTGGGGTTTCTTTACCATAGGCATTTTGCTACATTTCCAAAACTTTATACATTGCCAAAGTACAGGCAAGGAGTACTTTGGATTTTGGTCTACTGTCCACCTAGATTACTTGGAGAATCCCATAATCTTTGTCCACGTGTCCCCTTTCTGCTGCTCTTTATCACTTCCAACCTGAGCTTTGCATGTGGAAATCTTTAATGAGGTGCCTATAAGTCGAGTTTCCCAGATTGCTTCACAGCCAGTCCTCTCTAGAATCACGACACATGTTTCAACTTTGTCCGTGAGCAATAATCAAATCTCTTTCATTGGTAAAACCCTCAGATTGCAAACCTTGTCACAATCCACTAATAAAACCCTTTTAAACATTGCAGAAAATCTTTCTCCCCTGGTGTTTTTCTAAACTATCCTGCCCCCATAAATTGACTTAACATTTCTACCAATTTTACCACCCCTATAATTAATTATATTGGGGGCTTAGATTTTTAGCAAAGAAAGTAGGTCATTTTGCAGATTACTGAGGCTTTCTACCCTAATCACATCCACCAACACTCTACCCACCTCCACAAGTCACTGAAGCCGAGAGCTGAAATCAAGGGTCAGCTTGAATGGAGGTGCAGAAAGGAGGAAGAGGGAGAGGGAGGTAGTCAGGGACACTGAAAAAGAGAAGATAGAGAGAGAACGTCACATAAATTAATATCTGAAAAGATTATCTAGTTACACCAAGATCAAGGATTAGCACCACTGGCAGATGGAAAATGGCCTGGAATAATTCCAGAAATAGAGTTTGGAGGCCTTCCAGGGGCCGTTTACATAATCCTAGCTCAGGTTTACGAGGGCAGGCTGAGTTCATTTAAAGGGGTAGACACTACATCAGGATCCTTAGTTGGTAATTGAGTATTTTTTTCCTGGTTGCCTGTGAAGAACTTCTTTTTAGTTTTATGAGGGGTTTATGCTTGTGCACAGGTGTGTGTGTGTGTGTGTGTGTGTGTGTGTGTGTGTTCATGTGTCTGCAAAGGGGATGTGTAGGAGAAAAGGATAAAAAGGGCTTAATAGCCTTATGTGTGTGTGTGTGTGTGTGTGTGTGTGTGTGTGTTTGTGTGTGTGTGCGCTCATGTATCTGGAAAGGGTATGTGTAGGGGAAAAGGATAGAAAGGGCTTAATAGCCTTATATTTCATATCTCTTTTTTGAGGATCTGTACTTATGTTGCACAATAGTAGCTAATATTATTGTATCCTTACCATGTGCCAGGCAGTGCTGTAAATCTTTTACATGTTTTAATTAATTTATTTAATCCTCATGATTACCCTATGAGGTGGGGGTACCCCTATTATTCTATTTTACAGAGCAGGGAACTGAAGTGCAAGATGAAGTAAGCAGCACAGTTGGGATTTGAACTCGGGCAGTCTGACTCCATGTTTATGCAATTTACCTTTTATGTGAATAGTGTGAAGACTGCATCCTCACACCTGTTTCTCTAAGCCAACCTATTTATGTGACACTTCTTTTATTAATCTTACTCATGTTGAGTATCTTCTATATGTGGGGTTCTGGGCCCGGTGCTCTAGCATTGTGTGAGGAAAAACAAGCATGGATAGCAGTCCATCCCACCCTGAAAGGCCCTGCAATTATATCAGTGTAATAGGCAGTATGCTAGCATTTATTTTTTTTAAGCAACCTAAAAACGGTCTGAGATTCTCCATTTATGCTAAAATTTGACATTATTATGGAAAACACCTGGCATTCACAAGACAAGAATTCTATATGACCTAACATAAAATGTGAAAATGATATTAGTTATTAAGATTCAGTTATGTGTGAAAACACTGTATAGTTCATTAAAATGTAATGTCTAAGTAACAAGATACCATATATATAAAGTTTCTAATCCTTTGTCCTCAACTACAACGTTAGTAAAAATTAATTTTCCCTAGAATACTAGAGCTATCTTTCAATACTTTGAATGTATATGATACTATATCTCTAATTCTATTCATAGCAATTGTTTCAATACATCAGAAATTCCTACAGAAAAGCAGTGGGTACCTCTCAGAATTTTTCTACTGAGGATTCCAGGTAACTTTCTGTAGGCATTTGGCATTGGAAATGTATAGTTTGGCATGTACAATATGTGTGTGTCAAATGGCATGTTCAAATGTGAGCAGTCAAGTTTTATAAAACCATGTGCATATGAGAACCGAAATGACAATGCTTCATTGGTTTTTATAGCTTATGCAGATGTAGTCATTCTTCCTCAGTGGCCATTGTAATTTATCTAAGAAGAAAATTAGAATAAAATAATCCTCCTTATCATGTAATGAGGAAGTTAAACAGTAGTGGGAAATTGGATAGCCAGCTTGTGCTTATCCATAATAGAGAATTCACTGGCCCCTCCCAGTGGATTTAAATAATTCCTTCTGCAGGGCACTTGCTAAGCATCTCTGCATCCTTCTGGAAGATTTGTATCAGGCAGGCTTCTCTCTCATTTCTTGCTCCCACATCCTGCTCCATTGTGCCACATTTGGTGATTTCAACACTGGATTCCCTGCCAAGTTGGCTGCTGTTGTTACGGTTGCATTGTGGCAGGTGGAGGCAGAAGAAGTATTTGTCACAAGATAGAATCTCTGGGAAAAAAAAATACTTGGCTTAAATCTAAGTGCTGTAAAGACAGGGATATTGTCTTTCTTGCCATGATATCCCCAGTGCCCAGAATAGTGCCTGGTACATAATAAGTGCTCCACAAATAATTGTTAAAGATGTGAAGGAAGGAATAAAATTTGAATCACCAGCTAAAAACCCAGGAGATGTTTCAGATTGCTGGAGAATCTCATGTAGAGAGACTGGGATGACATGGACCCGGTTAAACCCAAGAGAGGGCACAAGAGGACTGAGGTAGAAGAAATGCCACGGTGCAGGGAAGAAGGCAAATTAACTGGACCACAAGTGAAACGGATGTGTCCATCATTTATTTATTCATTCAGCAAACATTTATTGATTGCTTATTATGTGTTAGTCACTATTCTAATGGCTAAAATACATTAGCAAATGACATTGACAAAATCCCTTGCCCTTACGGCTTACATTACATTACATGGGAGACAGGCAATAAATAAGATACCTAAATGAAACATATCTATTATATTAGATAAAGATAAGTGCTAAGAAGAAAAATAAAAGCAGGGAAAAGTGAATAAAATAACAGGCCAGAAGGAAATGGAGTTTTAGAGAAGGTGGCAAAGGCAGGTCTTATGAAGAGATCGAATTTTTTGAAAGAACTTGAAGAGTATGGGAAGTGATCTTTGCAGCTACCTGGGAAAAGTGCCTTCCAGCCAGAAAAAAATGGCATGCACAAAGGCCCTGAGTTGGAAGCTTGCCTGGCATGCCTGAGGAACATCAAGAGAACAAGAATGGCTAATTCAGACAGAATGAAGAGTAAAGAAGTAGAGGATGAGGTCAGAAATATGAAACAGCGTGAGAGCATTAGGTTAGCAAGGCAGTAAGGGATTTTACCTTGGCAGAGTGTCACTGGTGATAGGACTTTGGCTTCTGTGTTGTGTGGGATAGGAAGGCACTGTAGGCCTTCCGTTACCCTCTTCCACCTTAGAACCATCCTGCATGTCTTCCCCTGATGCTTTGTCCAATATCCACTCATCTCAGAGTCTGTGTTGTGTCTCACACAGACCTTTTCTGATATTTCTGTCTAAACTATTTCTCACCACTGTCAACACCAGTCAATCTCTCCCCTACTAGCTGTTTTCCTTCAAAACACTTGCCACAAATTAGAATTTTATATATATATATATATATATATATATATATATATGTATATTTGTAGAATATCTGCCTGCCTCACTAAGCTATAATCTCCATGAAGCAGAGACGGTTCCATTTTATCCACTATTGAATACTCTGTATTTTTAAGTAACAGCCTTAAAAATCATCACATTTTCCTTTCTTGCAGTTTTGGGTACCTAACTCTCTACCTGGCCTGAGGCATTCACCTGCTTGCCAGAAATGAGGAGAAGATATTAAGGTTATTACCTTAGGAATGAAGAGAGCATAGAATTAATTTTCCTTTTCTCATATTCAAAAGAGGCCTTTTTGCAGTAAGGCAATAGGCTGAAGGAAGTTAGTATTTTCTAAATTCTTTAGCAAACCAAGAACCAAGTACTTACGATTCAGATCACTGCTGCTCTAACACAGGAAGACAAAATGATGTTGGGTAAATCTTGACCAGAAAAGAGAAAAAGCCCAATTTATGCTCTATCTGATTCATAGAAACCTGGGGATGGGAAGCAGGAGCAGGTGGAAGCAGGGGAGTCTACAAAGCCAGTGAGCACCAAAGTGGTCCAAGGTGGCAGGAAAAATGATGAGGCCACAACCAAGCCAAGTAAGAAATGGACCAGGATATGCTGGTGTTAGATAACAGAAGCACACACTGGTAAGAAGCCCAGGAGTGGGACCATCAGACCTTAATGGCACAAAGCCAGGGAGCATCCCTTGCTAAGACATATGAGTGTTATAAACAACACAGAGCAATGCGTGTGCAGATAGATAGATAAGACAGATTGTATATCAATATATCTACAAAGTATATTTATGTGTGTATAAATTTAAAATGTTGTACTTATTGTCACTGTATTTATTATGTATAAATCAGTATATATATCCAAGCACACCATCTCCCCTTCATTGCTGAAGTTACAACATTCTACAAATACACAGAGGCCCTCTTTGACAAGAGAAATGTGGAAATATGACAAAATGTACATTTTTACAAATAGATACTGAGTGTTATCCCAAAAAGCTGTGTAAATCTTTGCATCATTTCAAGTTTCTCCAGAGTTGGGGGGATGTGGATGAAAGCTGAGCTAGAACCAGAGGTTCTGACATTGGATCTACTTGTGGAAAGGATTGAGGTGGAACACCCAAACCAGGGACAAGTGGAGGAGTCTCAGAAAAGGAGCTGAGTGAGGCTGTGTCAGCCAGGGAATACTTGAGGCCCAGCCCAAGAGAGTCATGACCATGACCTACACCAGCCACAGATCAGTAGCTGGCACCCACAGAAACATCAGGAATAGGATCAGTCCTAACTTCGTGGTCACCGTCTAGAAAGTAGCCCAGGCCAACCACTTCATAGCTGAGACTAGTGAGGGACTAGTGGCCACTGCATGGATTTAAGAACCCATCTCTTCTCCATTACAACGATTACATGGAAGGCTTAAGTTCTTAGCATGCTAACTTGTGAGGTGGAGTGGGGACAGGTACACAGTTCTGAAATGTTTCTCATGGAGATGGACTTCAAATTGGCTGAATACTTACATGAAATGAGAGGATTTAAAACAGGAAGGGACTGAACTGATTTCAACAGACAATTTTAAACTTTTCTCTCTATTAATTACTCTAGCTGATGGAAGGCTTTAGAAAATACAATCAGTTATACAAAATACAATAAAACCTAATTTTCTCTGTATCTCCAAGTGCAGATTGGATTAACAGGACAGAAGACATAGTGAGTATTCAATAACTGTATGTTAAATGTATGAATACTTAAGTCCAAATGTCTTAGTTTTCTACTTTTGCATAACAAATAAATGTAGTGGTTTAAAACAATACCCTTTTATTTTCTTGCAGGTTTTGTGGGTCAGAAATCTAGACATAGCTTCATTGAGTCTGCTTAAAGTCTCACAAGCCTGCAAGCAAGATGTCTCC